GGCCAATAGTTCTTCAATTTATGGTGAAGTGAAGGAGCCTAGGACACGGATACATCTAGCTCGAGGTGGATCACAGAACCCTCGAAAGTGAAAGCATGAATAAACTTGCAAAACGGTTGTCTCTCTTGCAATTTATATCCCAACTGTTTTGTGTTCGTGCATGGATCATATGATGTTGGCGTGAGCAGCGTTACATACCAAATCGACACCTTCACAGTTTAATCCATTAATTATAAGTACATTAAAAGAATTACGCCCATTTGAACTGTGACGTTTATTGTCACCCGATTGGAGTGATATCCTGTTCATGACAGTCTTTTATAAACATCAATGGTAATAACGAGGATAGCAGTAGGTATTACCAAGGCTTTGGGAACAATTACAAAGCTTAATTAGGGACACAGGTTAGCGGTCATAACTTCGCTATTGGCTTTTATAATAGTAACACAAACCTGTTATAAAGAGTTGAACTCTCTTTGCTCCTTAAATCTGTACTATGAGTGAGGCTAGGGCTATCGACACCATGAAAAGCTCGCCCCGATCGCCACTCTTTACCTTTCCTATTCCCACCTTCAATGCCATCTATTTACTTTATGGCAGAGAGAGGTGTACTCCAAATGTTCCGGTAATCCTTTTTTTTGGATGGGGAAGGGGAAGAGGTTCAAGGTCAATGGGCTTGATAAAAATGCGTAACTTAAATCTCTTTAATGTGGGCTCAGTCTTCTCTAGCCTCCACCTCCCATTCGTCAACAAGGACGGTCCTTTCACAATCGGTATCTGGTTGACAGACTGAATGGGACTAAGGAGCTCGAATGTAGAGCTTCAAGCCGTAAAGTTGTCTACAGTCATTAACGATAGGGCAAAGCAACTTTTGAATGGAGTGGAAGTAATCATTATATATATGTAGCTGGCAGACCTAAAGAAAATGGTTCCGATGGATGTCTATTCATTCTTTAAAGGCTGCAATGACTGACTAGTCATCAGCATTCAAAATTCACTCATTTTGTGTCAGTTCACATTACTGCATTAATAAGGGACCATATTTTATTCCTTGATTAGGGCCTAGCATGTAAATACTTTCAAATCCACAAGCCACCTCATCGCCTTTTGAACACCGGGTTTTCGATCTCTCATGTAATTCCACATACTTGTAATGTAACAAAGATTATGGAAGCAGGCGACTGTCTGCCTGCCTTTTCCAAGGCAGTTTAAGACATTAGTGACCCAACCTTCATCAGCTTCCACGATAAGCTGATTTTGGCTTTTGTTCTGGTAAGACTGCAAAACACATTTTTGGTTACATTCCTAAAATCGTGCGGTGTAAACTTTAGATAATGTGTGGGTCTGTAAAGAGTCGAATTCATGCCGTGTTCCAGGCACAACAGCACAGATACATTCGGACAACAGTACAAAAAGGTTCATTCAAATTTTGCTGAGGAAATAAAATAGGGAACACAGTGTTCGAACTTAGGTTCTGGCCGCCTTCCATCTTTACAACTCTACTTTGTGGCTGTTCAGAACATCAAGATCCTTGGATGTTGCTCAGTATTTACCGCATTATAATCACATCTTATGAGAGAGTATCGTTAATGTAGCCCAATGTAACTCCTAGTAAACTCGAACATCTTATGCGGCTCAGACTATGTAAAAAATGTTACTAATGTTATCTAAATGGGTTGAAAGGCCATAACCACGCCATCAACAATCACAATTCAAGCCGCACATCTGCATACATCTGCATTACCTGTAGACACCACGATATTAGGCATTTCGCGAAAGACGACGTGCATGAGTGCTTGGTCATGCCTGAGTCACAGGGAAGTAGAACCCGTGGAGAAAGGTGTGCTGCGGTTAGGTTAGGGCAGCAACCTGCGGCATTTGATTTGCATAATTTAATGCACAATCAACAACACGACAAGCATGCAAAATCGAGCACAAATTCACACAATTTTGCTTTGATCCCTACCGAACAGCTTTAGATAAAGGTGCTTCTGCTGATGCGGTCAATGAGAATTGTAAATGGATGATAAGAACAGAGTCACGCATCACATTGGTGTCAAACGTTGTGAGGACAATTGATCGCTAGAAATGCGTCCGTTTTTAAAAGGATTAAATTGAGCTTGATGTAGTATGATGCATTTATTGTTTAGTTAATCTCTGGGTTTACTAACGTGCCAATTGAGAGCTCCACTATATTGTCTCTATTGGCCTGATCTTTGGTTGCAGCGGGAAGCCTCAAGCCATTTCTGCGCCAAGTTTACTTTTACTCTGTGCCCACATTGTCTATTCTTCCGGCTGAAAAACTACATTAATGGTGACGAAGAGCATTTATTGTCTCAACGAACAAATATTCCGATGTCTACTGCTGCTTAACGAACAGAAATACAACAGAAGGCTATCTTCTGCGGTCGTGAGGATGCACGATAGTTTCTATAAGGTCTATAAATGATATTTATCTTTGGCAGCTTTCTTAGTCCTATAGTCTGTAGGAAAGTTATTGATGACCAAAACGGCAACAGCCGTGAGTGGTCTAAAAGAATCCTTAACCGATCTGTCCAACGTACCTGTAAAGGCATATTAGTGGTATAAACACGCGACACCTTTCCCACTCCTCTACTAGTTGAACAAAACACAGGCGGGTATGATTGAGCAAAGCTGAAATGAGGACAAAGTAGCGAGAAGGGATGGACTCAAGACCCCGCCTACTGGGAAGTGCGTTGAACACAGACTTTGTCGTATGTCCCTACGATTTGACCAGTGTTACTACGAAAAGCAATGAGAATGCATGACTATGAAGGCATTCGCTTCCCCCACCAGAGCAGTTCCTGCAGAGAAGAAAAATCTAATATTAATATAACTGCCAAGAGATCACTGATGTCGAAGTTCTTTACGTGTTACTCGAGAACTGCCATGGCTAGTTGACTCTCGGGTGTTTCCCTTAAGACAACGACGATTTTGTTTTGACCGTAGACGATGGTTTAGGAAGAAGGACTAGGTGATACGTTAAGTAGTTGTTTAACTGCACTTTTTTTAAATAAAGGCCTACGTAGATACTTTATTGTTGCACCACTGTACCCATATTACTGGCCCAAGAGCAATCTCACAACGACAGTATTGGTTCTGCCCAAGTACTGTGCCTCCTTTTGTCCTAAATGTGGTAATACATATCCAAAGTGGTGATATTTAAACACATGAAATTTGTGAGACAGACACATTCAGTAGATTGAGAGGGTTTGCCCACAATGCCGATCCCATCAATATCAGAACATAAGTTTGGAGCGCCATTCACTTTGATGTTCTGGTCTCAATGGTTTGTTTTTGTACAGTTAAGCTTTATGTGCGTAATCCTGCCTCCAGCCTTATGTTTTAAGTCGTAACAGTTTAAATGTACTCAAATAACTTCATTTTTATTCTTTAAAGTGGAGCATCGTTCTTGGTTTTTGAATATCAAGGAGGAAACTGGTCACAGATCATGTGTCTTTCAAGAAAGAGTGTTTAATCCTCTAATTGAGACCGCCAAAGTAAAGTTATAAAAAGTCTGAACGTCCTGAAAATAAGCCTAGCAATTTTTTACAACCATGATTCTCTTCAAATCCCTACTGTGACCAAGTGGGTATTAAGACTTCAGCTTAACAGGCGCTTCAAAACGCTTCAATGCTACTACTACTACTAGCCTTACTATGTACACCGATCAGACCGTGTTGCCAGAATAGTGCCAGTTTGACTTCATTGGTAATTTAGGCAAATTACATTAACTCTGGCACCAAGCAGGCCTACCAAAATAACTGACAACGGCACATCTCTCCAGGGGTGATGGTGATTGATAACAATCCTATTTATTAAATGAGCACGATACTCTTACCCTCCAATACTGTTGCACTTCTTCAAGGTGGCAGAAGCGAATGCCTTCCCTCAAACCCAGGAATGCTGAGAGTCCCCTTCAAGCACCCTTGACAGATTGCAACAAAGGTGTGCCTCCGTGTGATATTGCCGATCCTTTTGGAATTTGAAGAGACCAAATGCACTTCCCGCCTTCTTAATTATCCATCTACACTGTGCGCTTTTGCCGTTGGATCAAACAAAGTAAAACCACTAGCCCCGGCTAGACACCCTTGCTACTCGAGAATCAAGTCTGAAGTCGGAACATTAGATCCGTCAACCTTCCGATTTCGAGATTCAAGCCTGCTGTTAACGCTCTAAGATATTCAAGTTATGAAGAACAGTAATAGCTCGGTGATAAAATTAGCGAGGGTAACTCGTCGATATGATTCAACCAGGTGTGTACATGTAAACTGTGCAAAACTCAAATTTTGGTTGAATGAAAGCACAATACTAGTACTGCACAGAGGCTAATAACAGAATTTACCACACAGATGTTCTACAAGTAAGGTAAGAAACCTAATGCTTATAAATGTACCCACTAATCCTCTATGATATCCAACAGTCAACTGATACTACCACAATTCCATCCTTGTCTTCGTCTCTAAACTTTATTCAAAGAGAGATGAAGTGGATTTTTTTGTTGGCCAGGACCCGGCGAAATAGAAGAGACAAGGGGAGAAAGGAATAGGAGAAAAGGGGGCCAAGATGTGATCGTCCCTTGTCTCATGTACTCTCATGTGGGTGGGTGACGGCGGTGGAGGGCAGCTATGTGCGTGCGTGCGTGTGATAGTGGTACTGTATTAGAGGGCATGAATGGGGGAGCAAGAGTGGAGATGGGACGAGGCGCGGATGAAAGAGGTTGAAAAATCCACGAGAACACACGCACATGGAGTTGTCATAGAAGTGTCGAAAAATATACACAATTGTACACACGCACACACGCTCTCTTAGCAGTACAACAGAGGAGGAATGAGTGGCAGCATCAACGATAGCAGCAAATAAAAGGACATTAGGGAAGAGGGTTGGCGCGTGGTGTGAGGTAGAGTCCAGCACTGGAGAGATAGAGGCCAAGAGAGATCAGGAATGACTGCGAAACAATGGCCTCCTCATTCTCCGCCCTACATGCACACCGAGTAGATAGAAAGTCGACCCGAGCTCGTGCCGTCATTGGCGGAGGAGTGATGATGGTTGTGCTTATGGTGATTGTGGTATGGGTTTGGAGGCAGGGGAAGAGTGGGTACAGGGGGCAGGGGCGTGCCTGAGGAGGCCTTTAAACAAGCTGTCGCGGTCTGCTGCGCCAACCAGCAACCACCGCTGGTGGATGTTGATGTGGAAACTAGAGGCGTCTCTGAAGGATAAGCGGTCTACAAGAGAAGTCAAAGTTTGGCAAAGCCTATGGATAGGGAGGGACAAGGGAAATTTGTGCAAGCGAAAATAAATATAGTAATTGGAAAGCATGCATTTTGCATTGCGTCAGCAGAGGCGGTCTCTTGATTTTGTAAGAGCCCACAAAAAGTGTAAAAATTGCTTCTCTGTCTTCATTCTCATGATTTTGATGCTTTTTGGAAAAGGATTACAAAATCGATATGGGATCGGGAAGAATGAAATGAAATAGGTAATAAAAAATGCACATACCCTTGAACAAGACTAAAGGCGCGCCTAAACTCCAGCTGGTTGGTGTTATAAAAAAGGAGAGGTAATTGAAACACGAGCCTTTTCATTAAAGCTACACAGCTTTTAATTTGGAAATTTTTGCGCATACTTAAACGTTGTTGATTTTGCATAAAGATGACACTGGATGTCCTCCTGCACTGACCCGTGACAGTGAACTGCATCATACTTAACCTATAAGAGATGTGAGATTCCGGGGATGGTCTACTTCAAGACTGTTTTTGCAACATACAATTCTCCCAAAGGATTCTAACACTTAAGCTTAGGGCAGTCCTACAAACTTCATGATTTTAATAATCAATTTACAAAACCACCGACTTGCAAAACAATGACTAATTGCACTTCAAAGCAAAATTCTATAGTCTAACTCACCGTAGGAGGAACGCCAGAGTGTACAAGTCCTTGTGAGAGAAAAGGTGATGATTGGACAAGTCCACTCAACTGTTGAGAGTCATTGAATCCCGCGGCTGCAGCTGCAGCCGCCGCTGCCACTGCATTTTGGAAGAGGTGAGCCTGTTGTGCAGGCACGAGAATGGGTTGGTAAAGATGATAGGAGGGCCCACTACCACCACCTCCACCTCCCCCACCGCCACCACCGCCGGCCGTGACGGAGGTTTGGCTTCCGCTTTGGTCGGGATAATGAGTAGCTGTAGCTGTAAGGAAGGGCGATGGATATTGCGCCACGCCACCGTTGGGACCAATTAAGGAAGAGGAACCCCTCTTCATTGTCGACAAACCATTGTTGGAGGTCGTGGAAGATCCAAATAACGAGGTGCTGGCGTATTCAGTGCCAAGAATGTCACTGCCAGCAAGGTTGGGGAAGGGTTGTGCCGCAAAAGATTGCATCGCAGTGCGACCAGTAGGAAATGAACTGTCGCCCGCCGCCCCCGCTGCCCTTGAACTGCCTACTCCACTGTCAGTTCGACTCTGTACCGAGTCGTGAAGACCTCCCACCCCTTCCTGCCTTTGCGATGATGACGTGCCACGTTGTCGGCGATGCTTTGGTTTCTTCCGACGTCTGTTAGCATTGTTGACATTTGGTCTAAGAAGAGCCGAATTCTCACATTCCTCTGCATCTCCTAATCCCGTCGCTGCTGCGATCGGATCATCCATGCCGCCACCTCCACCACAGGCGGTCGAAACGGAGGTGCGTTGCACTCCCTCACTAGCCGAAGAAGCGGTCACACTGCTTCGTTCCGTGGGTCCAACAGGTGGCATTCCTCGAACCCGCATTTTTCCGCTCCCGTCTCCCGTTACTCCATCCCCCTCCTCATCCTCCATTTCGATGTCTGCGACCTCATCGTCAGACGAGGCAGATGGACTAGCAAGTGGGGCTGATCGGTCCTCGTCGTGTCTGCGGGGCGACGTGTGGCCACCGCCTCCTAACACTGGACAGAGAGCAGGTGGGGTGGTATAGAGACTGCCGCTGTCAGTGGTTGTGTCGCCACCTGTTGCTGGGTGGATCATCCCTATGGGCGGGTAAAACTGTTGCTGCTGCAGGGCCAGTTGCTGCATTGCGGCCAGATCGCCCCCAGCCAGAGAAGCAAAGTTATGCCCTTCAAAGAAAATGAGGAATGACATTACTAAACCTTAGTCTCGCATGGTTGATGGATGTCCGTTTTTTTAATAAAATTGTTAGAGTTAATGTCATGGTACACCAAAAATTGGCAAATATTCAAAGGATGAATCCCCAATCAAGAACAAGCCTTTTTCCTACCCCATTAATCATCGACATGAGATGACCGGCGGCTCCATCAATGGAACGCTGTCGAATTCCTGAAAATATCGTCTTATAATCGAATACAATTACCTTTACTCAGGCATAATATTGCGTTGACTTCATTAATCTGCCGCAATTCAGGCCACAAAGTAGGAGTCACGCCACATTTTACTGGTCTCCCAGGACTTCTGTGGGTTTGTGATAAAGTAATTTAAGTGATAAATCGAACCATGCAGTACAGAGGATGCGGACAGCCGCTACTTTACTTCACATTAAGGGACACTATGAAATAGCATCCGCTTATAAGGCATAAGACAAAACACGCATTTCTTAGACGAAAATTTCTATAGTATGTCGACAACCAGATTTTTCGGGTGAAGAAGCTAGTAAATAAGTCTCTTTCCCTTGTTGATAAATAAGCAAACAATGAGTAGTTCAGCCCCGTGTGCCAGTATTAACCACTCCTTACTGAGAGAGTTAACCACAGTTCTTATGAAAAAATAAATGCTTTTTGATAGACTAGATCGTTGAGACTATTTTCAACAATGGGGAGAGCAACATTTCAGCACCTTAATGACAACAGGAAATTGCCACTACCAGGATGTATTAGTTAAGGGACGTTGATGCTCAGTGGGAGTTAGGTGGAGGTTGTTCTGGGCAGTAATCTTTACTCCTTTAATCTCAGCAGGCGGTGGACCAAACAAGACATCAAACTAAGTACTGCAAGCGCAGGTCCACATAAATTTGAGAACTATCGAACTTCCTTGGTAGATGAAAGGCTAATTGATTGTTTAATAGAAATGTAGCCTTCACATACTCCTCCGATGGCAAACACAAGCTTGAAATGCTCCAGCGAGGCTCAATCCAACACTCGAGATGTTGAGTCGCAGCAGTAGTGGCAGTGGCGGCTGACTCAACACGAGACAACGTGGATGCGTACGCGTGCACGGTCACTTGCTCGCCCACCTCCCTCACCAGAAAAATGCGTTAGTAATAGCGAGACAGCATCGTCAACACCGTCATCGTCACTAACATCATTATTCCCTTAACCGCACACACATGCACACACGTCTAGTGAGAAGGGAAAGAGGGAACGAAAAAGGTGGAAATGCTGGCTCTCCAACCCCCCTCTTGCAACTGATATTAGTAATAGCCTGAGAACGAAGTGGTAGATATTTGTCTGTTGGTGGGACCTATTAAAGTCAAGTCAAAAAGAAACAAATGCTTCAAATATGAGTGCTAGAATGGGGTATAACTTCAGAACACTGGCATATTGACTCATTGTGTAAAAATCAAGTTCATTTCTGTCTACCACTAGGCCTTCTTCTCTTAAGAATTAAGCTCTATTGAGATAACAAAGACTAGTATGCAATATTTGGTATTCCCTATTCTCAAATACCATTATTTTACAACAGTTTTGAATGCAATTCGGGATGAGCGGTGTCTAGATTTTTCCTTAGTTTTATGTCGAAACGCATTCAGAAACACCATCAGCCTAAATAACATTCAGAAATGTGGTCAACGCAGTCTTGAAAGTGCGATGGACAGAGTACTGTTAGTCCGATTCCTATTATTCTCACACATGATGGATCTGTTGTCAAAACGGACATTTGAAGTCGGACACGCCACACTACATGTGTAGTTTGGTTAAATAAATTGGGAGGGAAATACACTAAAGAAAGAGATGACAAGCAAATTTGTGTGCAACTTCTACTCTATGAGTCTCGTCCAACATACCAAACTCTAAGCAAGCAAAGGAAGACCTTAAACGTTTTGCAAACAATAAGGTGTACCTCAGTTTGCAATAGACTTTCCGAATTAGAGGTTTCTCATTTACTTGTAACACTGTCGATTGGAATGGTCATAGCTTCCATTGCGAAAAAATGTTCAGAGTGGATAGGATGGAAGAAGCATACTGAACACACTTACCTGGGGATGGAAGACCAGTAGGACAGCCGTCTGGTGGAGAGAAAATGGCCGGCGAAGAGAGCACCTGTAGCGGTGAAGCTCCGGCAGCGTACATGGTTCCCGTGCTTCAATGCAAAATCAAATTAACAAGTTCATCCTTGCATAGCATGAATTTTGACGCCATTTACCCGAAACCAGTCTACGCGCTCTTCAATCTAATGATTCCGAAGAAATTATTTGCAGCAGTTTTGGCATCAACATGTAAGTTTTTCAAAGTGCGTAAGATAAAATGAAAATTCATCCAACTTGCTCCCTAAAAGTGAATCAAGCTGGTCTACTATGGAAAGTGAGCAGCCCACAAGAATGTCCCTCTGCTCGACCACTAATTAGTAGCCCTGCTTAAGACATTTAATGAATGGCCCTGCTTCAGTAGGCTTGAATAATGACAATTTCAACGATGGTCTGCAAAAGTAGAGTCTGGTGCACATTATGAGTCCGTTGTAGTGAAGTCCTACTCACAGCCGCCTCATGATCCCCCTTGAAAATTCATGCGCTATGAGAAACCTGTAAATCTTGAAGCTAAGCATAAATTTTTTGGCTGTTTAGAGAATGTCTTCCTGTAAAACAATTAAGATACCCCAAAAACGTCCATTTAAATGAGTTTTTCCAAGTCAAAAAATAAGGGGACTAGCAGGAGGGTATATAAGTCTCGTACACCCCCATGTCCCACTCCGAATTTCAAATCCGCCAAAGAAGAAAGGTAAGAACATGTGTGCTTGGCGTTCTCAAAACACCGACTAAACTTAAAGTACCAGACGGCCAAGCACATGAAACTACAATTTAATGAGGAGAAAGTCGTAAATAATGAGCTAAGTTGATTTGAACTTACGAATTTCATATCCAGTTGTGTGAGAAATCAGGAATGAAAATCTACTCCAAAAGCACATCCCAAAATTTTCACTAGAACCTTCTAAAACAAAAATCTTTCCTTCAACCGCCTATTCCGGTTGGAAAGTTCCTTTAAATGAAACCACAATGATAAACATATTCCAAAATTTAAAAGAGGTATGTGTGATTTTGAAAACATCAAGATAATCGGCATTCCATTGGTAAACCCAATTCAAATCCACACAGTAGGTGAAGTTATAGGGACGATACCCATTACAAATTTGTGCTTAGATATTGATGAATTGCCAGACATTCTGGGCAATCCTGACCGAATGGTCACGCAGGGTCGTCGTGCCTTTGTAAAATCCAAAGGATTTAGATTGATATTTAGGCTGCATACTCACGGCGCATTAAGAAAGCAACTAATGGCCTTTCACCACTTCCGGTGACTACGTGACTGCAGATGTGCCCACAATCCGAAATCCACTTTCTAGTTCCCTCAAAGGCGACGTCAAACACCATTAGGGGGTGAAAGCTACACCCAAAAATGTCGCCTAGCAAGTTACGAACCTACCCGGACAGTCTTACCGCCCTTCGAATAAAACTGGCTTTAAGTAATGAAGGCTACCTTCTAGAACCCATAAGAAGAACAATGGTAGGCAGGAGGGTCAAAAACTGACGCTTCTGAGTCCAGATAAATTTCACAATCTTCGTCAAATGATGTAGAGCAATACTACTAGATTATTAAATTTAGCACAAACGAATCAGATGGTCACGTATAAATGCATCTAAACTCTCGATGAATTGTAAATCGTAGCCTAGCATTAAAACCCACGGCTAAGCCTCAGAGAGGTCCTAATTAGACAATTATTGCGAATTCATGTTTGGCAGTTCAACAACTCACCCATTGTTATGGGCAGGACTGAAGAGGTAAGCTGTAGGCGCAGCGGAACAAGGTCCTGAAGACGTGAGATTGTTACACATAGAAACCCCAACAGCATTTGGTTGGTACGGCGGTGCAAGTACCGCCGCCGTTGCCGTATCCTGCGGGGAAGTCATTGGAGGAGGCGGTGGGGGCGGAGGTGATGAAGCCATCTGCGAGGAGGGAGCAGAGGCGATTTTCTTGAGAGACTGGTGGCGCTGCCTCGAGTGCTGCATGCGGATACAGAGGGAACAGAAGAGAACAACGCAGAAGAGGCAGAACAGAAGGGAGACTACTATGACAATGATGAAGGTTGTACCACGACTGTTTGCTCGCAACTGATCTTTGGCCAAACCCTGTCGATGCGTCACTGTCACCGATGACATTGATCCAGTGGCCAAGTTTCTACCACCGGCACCATCTTCATGGTAGACTAGACGAAAGATTTCAAAAAGAAATCACTGTGGCACTGCATTGCATAAAATGAGAAGGACAATCAATCAAACGGAGTAAGCACAATTTTGTCATTTGAGAGTAGCTTTATTATAGGGTCGTAAGTAATATGGGCACTAAAAAGGTCCATTAGCGCATTATTAGTGCCCAGTCAGTGTTCATTAACGCTGATTTGGACAGGAAAGTCTGCTAATAGAGTGGATTTGTGACGCAAATCTGGCTGAAAGCCGAAATTCGATTAAGGCAAGTGTTGAATATGGGAGATTCTACTGACATACACCGATGCATAAATAAGGTTTTGATGAATTCACCGAACCGGCTTACAATGAGGGTTTTGCTCCCCACGACTAATTGCGCACTCGTCTGTTTCAATACTGGCAACTTGAGATACACATATAGATTTGTTGGAAACGGAATAAGACACCGAGTACGAATAGATAAGGCAGACAACTCACAACTAACATTAGGAGTTTTCCAACTTTTACTTTAGCAAGTTAGCAAAACTTAGGCCTGATTCACATGAATATTCACAATAAAACAAGCTTCCAGCTTCTAAATTGTGCCGTAAAACGCTTTAGATTATACAATCAGATTTTTATTGATTTTGCGAGGTCAGCCAACCGCAAAGACTGAACTCGGGTCAAACCTGACAGAGCCTCTGCTTTTGACACAGTTTTATGGCTAACGTAGGTAGAAAAGTGCCCATCGAGGGAGAGATATTTAAGTAAAAAACCCGCTGTTTCTCCACTCAAAAGAACAGCAAAACAGCCATAATGGCATGAGCTTACTTATTTGACACTATTGGGTGCGCCATTGCAGGGAGCGAGGTTAAGGAGGGCGAAGCATGCCAGAAACTCAGACTAAAAACGGGCGTCTTAGTGCCAGCAACAGCTGGCACCGACCACTTGCTTAATAAGCGATGTACCCTCGAACTACATTGAAGATATAGTCGACTGATTGCATTTCGTATCATCTGAAAATGTGAATGGAGGCGTCGACCACCAAGGTATAGCAGAGTAGAGGTCGACCACCATTCGATGTGATACAAACAGAAGGCCAAGGTAATGCCCAAAGAAGGTGAAATGGTGTCTGGTTCCGTACACAAAGTCCTGATGCATTCCAGGAAAAGAGCTGACTAAGCTCGAGCGCCCTAAAACAAGCAGTTCGCCATACGGACATCCTCAACCTTGCTTTGACGATGCACACGGAGAAGGAATGGATATAGTGGAAATAAGACAGATACTATCCGCATGAATACATGAAATACCCTAGACAACAGAGTCATCAACGAATTGACTGCAGTTGTCAAAATTTGAAGGCTGCCCTAAAATGAAAGCAAAGCCATTTATCGGAATCTCGCAATCAGGATCTGATGCAAGTACATCAAGAACTTCCAAGTTCCTTGAAGCATTCCGTACTAGATTCTCAAAGCAAGATCTATCAACACAGATTGGATGCATTTATTGCTTCGGCTATGTAGCCAACACCTGCAGTACCAAACCTACCAATTTGCCATACAGCAAAAGAAAATCGTGATGTCACTTGAACGTAACACTGGTAGCGAATGATAAGCGCCTACTTAGCTGGCACCTCTACAACTAGTTCAAATTCATATTTTATTTTTCGAATATCTTTTGCAAAACTGCAGCACACCAAAACAGCGAAATACTTTGCCATCGAGAACAGTGCCGACAAAATGGCCACCTAAATCCTGAAAACTACCCAGCCTGAGACGTGACCAAGGTTGAAGCAGTAAGTATCAAAAGCGAAACCAGTGTAGTTTGCCCGACCCACCACTCTTCCAAGTGCTGGTAGCGGATTATTAATCAAAATCAGTCACTTTAGTGCCTCGACTTCTATAGAAGGCTCTGCCTAGCATCAAACAATCTCCTAACATCTACCACTAGGGATGAATAAATGAGTTTATGGATTTAAAGCCTTTTTATGCTAACAAAGACGAGCAGACACATTATTAGAAGCGCGCACACATAAGCCTTTGTAGTAGGGGTGGTGGCAGCTGTGGTAACAAGATAGCTACTGCTACGATGTAGCGATTTTGACAGTTCCCAGAGGGCAGCATAGGTAATGGGAGAAGGGGGAAAAAGGGAGGGAGAGGGGAATCGTCGATCCTTGACACATCCCCAGAGGGGGGAGAGAAAAAAGCAACTGAACTGCCTCCAGTGTATCAAATTAGAGGGCAGCAAGACCCAAAACAGTAGTGAGTTGTGGATAGCACATACTGTCATAATCGGAGATGCGAAAATTAAACACATTTGCAATGTAGTGATCAGTAAAGAACATGGAGACAATTTAGCACTCACCGTTTTCTTCTATACCAATGGCGTCAGCTGCAGCAGAAGCAGTTGTGGTAGTGGTCGTGATGGCAGCATCGAATGGAAATGGACGCAAGTCTCTATCCACCTCTAATTTGCCTGAAAACCTAATCTCTGAGTTGCCACCCTCTTCTCGTTGTGACGACAACACCGGGACGTGAGGTTCTGCTCGGAAGACAAAGTGGAGGCATCAAATAGGATGGATGAATCACATTTTGTGGACGACGGAACTGATGTTTATTACCCGAAATAAACAGGACCTCTGAAATCAGCAACCAATCTTTGGAATGGAAGAGCTTCATAGAAACCTCCTGGGCGATGTGTCCCTGAAGAGGAATACTGACGACCACGGCGCCATCCCAGAGGGGGTTTCGAAAGACTGTGACACGACTTGAGCTCCTGGAGTTGACAGCATCCCTCCAAGAGGCGTCACTGCGCTCCTCAAGATCAACCTTGTCTAGGCTGAGTAGAACGGTGAGACTTTTCTTTTCGATACTAGAGAGAGCCGCGTCACCGGCAAAATCGATGGTAGTGTAGTTGGAGAGCCCCACTTGGAGACGACTTGATTCGAAGGTAAAGATTAGAAGGCGCGAGAAATTGCGCACTGCAAATACCGGAAAAAGTCGCTTAAAAAATGGAGACTTCTTGGAATACGCAAATTAGACGTTTATATCAACTATGGAGTCATTTAGCCCCAATCAGCATGGGTCAATTGCATCCCAAATATGCTTAATATTTGTCTTAATTACTTCGTTGCTGCAACAAGTCGCGGTACCCTCTATGTCTAGTCGGTGACCTATCCTGCATTTCAAGTCGTCAATCTGATTCGTATACCTTTAGAGTAGACAAGGAAAGTAATGGGTGCTATTACCAAAATTAACCCCAATAATCCTACTTCTATTGACTAGATGCTACATCAACACATCAAACTGATAGCGTGTAGTTGCAAATTCGAGCATCCATTTCATTCTCTCCTCTTAATGCCAACTACATTTAAAACAATGCGTCTTCATAGATGACTCGGAGGAGGCAACTCAAACTCACGCCTGTCGAACTTGAAATCCAGCCAGACATGGCTATTTTTGCTTCTCTCCCATCCAACAAAATGATTGTTGGCAGGAGAATCGTAGACATCCTGGGTAATATTACCGAGGTGAGCGGCATTGTCAACGAGTTTGCCTAGACCCCCAGGAGCCCCTCGCGGTCCCAGCGCCTTGTCAGCGTCATTGGTCGAATCTCGAAAATCGATACTTTGATAACGATCAGAACCTAGATGACCATGACTACCTTCTGTTGCTAAATATTCCGTTATTCCATCTACAAAGAAGGGTCAATTAAGTTCTTTTGAGGAGGAAGCAATGTCTTCCGTGGATAGGACAATGCACCAACTTATGAGGAGTTGCAAACTCAGCTAATCTTCCATTTTCTTACTTTATTTGTTAGAAAATACACGACCTCAGGAAAACTGACTGGCATCAAAAGCAATGAAAAGATTTCGAATACGTATATACCAGGAAAGGGACACCCTTTAAGAGCGAACTGCAGGCAAATGGGATGTTGTGATTTGGCACTGTAAGGGTATATCCGAATGCGGCGGGCAACCACCGCCGGATCAAATGTGTGTCTTGCGGTGTTGCGCGGGTCTATATTGCCCTGGATCACCTGCAAGTGGGACAAGAAGGTCAAATAAGTTTCCTGCATGAGGCTTGGAGAAAAAAGGCAATTATCGAAACCTACTCAAAAGCCTGAAGCACAATGCATCAGTCTCAAACTGACGAACCGAGTCATATGCAAGTCATTATTGCCAAGCCTACAGCTCTGAACTTGTAAAGGAGAACGGAACATTAAAGGATAAAATAGGATTGTTCCGAAGGTTTCTTCCGAACAAGACTACGCAATCGTCTAGCAGCCTCGGGACGGAGAAACTCATAAGAGTAAACCGATCAACAATTACCAATTCCGCGTCTCCGACGACGTAACTTATGATATTTAATACTTCGGTGCTCGCTTTAATAGAAGGGTAAAATTATTTTCACATACCTCCCAAAAATGTTATAAAATGTCTTCAAAAGTCCTGACCATGCTTAATATAATGCATCCATATTTACCAAAGTGAGAACCATCCATGGTAGCCTCAACGAGCTTGTTTCAAAACCCTAAATTTGCCTTAGCTGTTTCACTCAGCGTTTCCTATGCATCTAGGTGATTGTGCACATTGATGATTACCAACACTACCGTGAGCTGGACACCACGACGATCAGACTGGGCCCTGACAGAAGACTGACCTACTATGGGAACGTAACAATATCACTCAAACGTCTTGCTGATGGGCGCACTCTACTCCGAATGCAGGTTTCCGTAAATGGGAGTTTCCACAGTTTTTACTATATCGTTTACGAGAGCCTCCCAGGTTAATGAGTTGTACACATGCTACCACCGTTTATCTACTCTCCTGATTAACGAGTTTGAGACTGGCCAGGTCATGAGCTGACTGTTGGTAAAACGACAAGCATGCCACTTACTACAGTGCGTGTCGCCGCAATGCTAAAACCCTCATGATACGAACGCCCTTCAGCGCACTACTGAAAGAGCACGTGTGAACAACCACACACACGTAAGGTGAGAGTTAATGGGAGAGGGAGAAAGGGAGTGGAAGGAGGTAATCAATGGGAGGGTGAATTGGGGATAGAGCCTTACCCTCCCTGAATCGCGAGTAGTATGCTCGTACCATGGGCCACCGTCCTCCCGTTGGTAGTGCAGAATGAAAGCAGGCATATATTCCGCCACCTGCAAAGAAGTAGGCGGCTAGAGACCTCGTACGGCATGAAGGAAAAATAACGACGAGCTACAGAAGGCACATCAAGTGGAAGATGAAGTTGTTTTGTCGCTGCGCACAGCTTGCATAAATGTGGGTGACACTGCTCAACGCCAAACTACCTATTAGGTTTTCATAGCATGTCAATAAGCAAAATTCTCATTGAGATAAAAAGAGAATGAGTCGATAAACGAAGGTATGGCTTAGCAAAGGCAAATGCTTGAGCGCAGACCCATCACGATACACAATTTGAGACAGTGTTTATGAATAGTTTTAACCGACAGTATAGGGCAATACCCTCGTCCATGTTGACCCCTTTTTTCTCTAAACAAAATTGAGAAATCCAAAAGTACCCTTGAAACACAGTTTTATGACCGATGAAGTGGGCTGCCAACGTCAGATGATAGAGACACAAAAATGACCGTCATTTTAACTATAACAGTGTCTCAAATCTCTTTTCGCTGTGGCAAACCAAATAAACACACGGTTAGTTGACCGCAAACTTTGGCATAGGGTTTACTGAGGGAGAGGAGCGGGTTGTAACCAGCGCATATCACAAAAACTAACGTAAACACGAGCGCGACCACATACAAACAAGACACATGCGCAGGACGCGTAAACAGACAAACTACAGCAGACCCAATGCACACAAGTGCGTCCCGTCGCCGGATTTATAAGGAAGAGGTATTCCAACTTTTCCACATCTGGTCCAATTGGCTTTAAGGAGACAACCGGTGTTGATCTCGGGGACGAGTGACAAAAGAAAGAGACAATACAGGGATTAGAGGAAGATGCAATTTTCAGCTTTTGATTCCTTCCAGAAAACCCGCTAAAGTGACAAAAATAATTTCCTCCCTTCTCTTCCCTATTAAATCTCTTTCGCCTGCTGAGTAGTCAGCTAGCTATATAGCTTTGTTCTGAGAAAGGAGCTCATTTGCAATGGTGGACAAAAGGGTCAGGCAATGCCCTCAAATCGCACCCACGCAATTAACCCCAGTGAAGGACGACGGGACAGAGCTCGGCCGAAAATTTGGACCTCTGATTTATTGAACGTTCGCCCGCGGTCGCGGCCGCACATGCGTGCGTGTGTGGACAAACACGCACCACTTCAACGTAAACACACAACGGCAATCAGTAAGGATCGCAGAATTCTATCGCGATTCACCAGTTCACCCTCTGGTCTAAAACAGAATTAAGGCTATAGCACTGGCGTAGTAGTGCACGTTTCTGTCCAGCAAACGATTGGTATGGATAGAAAACACGAGAAAAGGGAACCTAATTGGACGAGAGGATGGTGAAATGCAAAAAAAAATAAAAGTAGGCCCATGGATTGACTTTGAATCAGAACCAAGAATTCGACATAGCATTCTAAACTTTGAATAGTAAAACTCCAACACCAATATCACTAAAGAAAAGCATACAATCCTTATCAAGTTTGGCCAGCGGAATAAAATAGTTGTACTTTTGACAGTAAAGAACAGAAATATTAGGAAATGATCAAGGTAAAGAAGCTAAAGACCGCTGATGTTAATAGAGGAGCATTGAGCACAAAAAATGCAATCCTTGAGTGGCCAGCCTAAACCGATGCCTGAAAGAATGAAACTTGTGGTTCACAATCACACTTCAGTTAAAAAGATCTGAGAAGTTTGTACAAGTAATTGGATGTCCAACACCAATTCCGATAAAGTCTTACATCTTGGTTCCGGTTTCATGAGAATCCAGATTGTATATTAGGTTACGAATCTAATTACGTAGTTCCATTTTATAACGAAAGGAGAATGTCAGAGAGCAGTTACAATTTCACAAAGTGTAGAAATTGCTCGAAGTAACGGCTACAAAAAAGAGACTGCTCACAAAACATGCCATTGACGATAACTCCAGAGTCAGAGAAAAAGAATTCCTGTTAATTAAATAGAGAGGAAGAAAATACGGGTAGTGAACGCAAATAAAAAAGGCCACTCACATTTCCATCACCGCGACCAGTGGTGAAAATAGTGCGGATGATGTTGAGGTGAGGAAAATCCACTTGGATCCACTCGTTCATCGCCGTCTGCACCGTGCTATTTGGGCACCAGGCACGACCCCCAGCGTGGTCCTTCCCAGGATACAAGTTGGTCAGTCTAAAAGCCATTAAAAATGGACTAGCAGATAAGTGGACGCAAGGAATGGAACCAAATGTAAGTGGGACGTTGATAGAGCATACCTAGCGTGATAGGGTCGAAACTCAGGCAGATTTTGCCGAACGCTGCTGGCGCTGAAAGCACTGTCTGGCAGTTTGGCCTGAGTGTCCATGAGGCGGCTGTCGCATCCCCTCTCGTCACTGGGACCTCGGCGGACAACTTAAAAAAGTGGATGCACACAGTAGTTATTAGCCAGCTTTGGCCGCCCTTTTGATTCTATTTTTTATAACGTGTCTAGAATTTTTAGTGCTGACTCAGGGAGCTTTCGGTAACAGTGACCGCCACGTGCACTGACATTTAAAATTTAGCCCTCCATCCGCCCCAATGTATGTGCATTCGACACATTTGATGGGCAAAAACGGCAGAATGCATTAATACGACCAGCGCCACTTTCCCAGAAAGTTGGCTTACGCTACAGAATACACAAGAGACTTGATCAAACGAGGAAGTTGACTAACCATAGGGCCTCCAGAGCCCAATGAGACAAAGGTGGAATTAAAAATCTCCTAATTTACGCGCGTGGACAAGTTATTCCGCATGCTAGTTGCGGCTAGGAGAGCTATCGGTTACACTCGACGTCAGGAGGGAGGGCGGGAATAAACAAAATGGGCTGAGTCACTACCACTGGAACGGACAGGGCGACAAGCTGGCAAGCTCACCACCACGGGGGACCACCCGGCTGCCATTTCAAAACAGACCCACGCACAAGAGTAGAAATAAGCGGGGACAAGGCGGCACACGAATAAACGCGTGATTAATACGTGTGCCCAACTTTAGGTGAGGACGGTAGGTTAGTCAGCCGAACGGCCATTCCGCCAGTCGGAGGGACGAAGACAATCCATGAGGCAATATTTTTATCGTTTTTGTAGGCACGTGATGACAGTAGTGGATGTTCGCACCCACCAGCTGATGCAAAAAATGGCATCCATGATTAGATGGGAGACAAAAATAATTCCGACAAGTTTTGAAACCCTAACAGTTGCCTAATTTCGATAATCTGAGTAAAGTAAACTAAGGTTCTGCCAATTTTGAGCACAATTGTGGCGGAATAACGCGAGGAAAACAAATTTTGAAAAATTACTGAGAAATACGCATAAGTGTCCGAAAAGACTGACGTTTAGGGTCAACCGCGAATAAATGGCCTCAAGAAATCGCAGAGCACGAGACAGTTGAGCTGCAGTTTCACAACAGTAAAGCTAAGCAGCTAACCGACATTCTCCATGGGGCTAGGACGAAGAAACAAGACAAGACAATTGTCAAGCAAAACCTGATGATTAACCATCGTCATCAGATGATAAACATTAAAAATGGGAAACACCCTCCACATGCACCTTTGTCTCGGTTTGGCACAAGAAAGTAGGAAATGGAAATGAGAAGCTATACAATCAATCAACGGGACAGGACAAAACGTACAGGCAAGTGCTCGTGTGAATTTAATTAAGGTCGCGTGTGGACAGGAGCTGGGTCAGTGCGTACCTTCAATCAGGGGAAGGGGTGAAGAGAAAAAAGAATACGCTAATTAGATGACTGTGCTTCCATGTTTGGTTTATACCCCAAAAAAACACAATGGAGGACAGAGGGTTGATCGAGAAACACCTTTGCGCATCACTCTTGCTAAGCAAGAAACGTGTGATGGGCGGACGGAGGTTGTCCAAACTTTTTCACCACGATAGCATAAAAAACTGACCATGACTTAAAAAAAACTTTCCGCTTCGAGGGGCGACCACCCTGACATTTGGGGGACTAATTAACGTTCTTGAGATTGGCGAAAAGATAAGGTCATGCTTATTAATGTCTTCAGAACGCGAGTAATAGACGGAAGGAAAAAAACAAGAAGAGGCCACTGCACTACACCAGACCAACTTGACCACAAAAGGAAGGGCTCATGCGAGTGGTAACAAAAGCTCAGAGCATAAGAAGAGGTAAAAGCAACATGACTGATGACTAAGGCCTGACAGAAAAGGAAGGGTCGTAAAATCTATAAGTATTCAGGGAGAGGGCATCAATTATTAAGTGTTCGCAGCCACCCACCCACCCCATCTCCCTCTCTCCCGTCATTCTGGATGTGGCGCAGCTTGAAAAAGAGTAAAGGGGACTGGGGGTGTCACGCTAGGGAGTGATGAATGCGCAGTCCACAAAGGCAGACGGGATGACTGGTGTCTGGCCAAGACAGGAGAGCAGTATCATCTATGCATTCCAGCTCTCCAAATGAAGATCAGCGCAATGCTTGAAAAGAGTGGAACATGACCAGGAGCCGTTGATCTCGGGAAACAAGATCATCAGAGGCTTGGACAACCACCGTTGGAGTAGTGAACAAAATAAGGCGAAGCAGTAAGCGAATCAGAGTTCACACACGCTGCTGGCGTTGGAGGTGGTGGGTGGGAAACGGAGGGCTAGAGTTCACAAGAATTTGACACTTGCTTGATGACTTCTCGGACCAATCAAACCGCGAAATGCGAAATCCACGGCAACATGCAGAGTGAAGAACAACATGTCGTTGTCTTGCTAATACAACAAACTTTAGTAAAAAAAATACTTGCAATTGGCTTTACTGCCGTAAGACTGCCCGAGGAAACCCAAACGCGTTAATGAAAACAATGCAAAAAGAACTCACTAAAATATGAAAAAGATAAATGCTTGATTACCTGTCCATTTAGCTACCCGCTTACAGGATGGAACAAATGTTATCAAACCTCTAAGCTTTAAGTCGGATAGGAGTTTACTTCACCACAATGCACACTTGACTCACTTTCGATAGTTCTAGAGGACCCAGCAATGAATGTGCAAACCGTAAGAAGGAAAAAATAAATCCAGGAGAAATGCAGCATGGGTAGAGTAGGTGTGAAACTGGTAAATCCAAAGGAACGAGGAAGGCGATGCGCAGTTATTGGCGCAGTAGCATATTTCATGCAAATGGTAGATCAAATATGGACGAGAGACAGTGAGCAGCGAGAGCGTGAAAGTGGGCTAACAGGGAGCAACCCGTTGAATAAGCGAAATCAGTCGCAGCCTCAGTTTTCTGATCATTTTGCGGTTTGTGTAGACCGCATGTGAGTTTGTGTGAGTGGCCAACCAATCAGCGTGGCAAGACTGATGGAGCGCTGTTCAGACTCTACCATCTGAATGGTTTAGCACGTCAACCAATCGAGAACTTGGGCTTTCCCCAAGGTGGCGTAAGCCTCTCGCCTATTGGATGGATGAGTGCCTGCATAATGGGCATTCCGTTAGCATTGCGGCGCCGAACTGACGCCCAGTTAAGGTGACTCTGATACGCGGCTTCACTGTGATGCGACATTTCTCGTTTTTTAATGAAAGGACAGATCATTCCTTGCCCGAGATTACAGGTCCAACACAAGTAAATATGCTGTTAAATTCAGCAAAACACTGAACTACTTAGATGACAGGGGCTGTCTTTTCTTTACTGGGTTATTCATTTAGATTCTCAATGGAAAATTACGTGCGTGTAAACTTCTATCTACAAGTTCCATCGTTATTTGCTACAATTATCCTTTTCGGATAACAAATTGCCTTGCTATTGTGTGGAAATCGGGGAGAAAAAAGTAATTGTTAGAGCTTTGTGCATTTGGACTTTGATATAACAAGACTTTGAACTTGAAGGAAAAGAAGGCTATGGCGTTAGACCGAGGGAATTGAAAAGCTAATTGGCAAACAGTATGACCAATTTCTTTTTCTCTACTTCATAATAAAACAAATTAACTGCAGGCTTAATTTCAGCTGGTGCGTTATTTTAACTGAAAAAAAATTAGCATCTTAGCTGATTGTGTTTAGGCGCCGTTTGTTATCTGAGAATGTTTCCTATTCAGGAGAACTGGTGTACGCTGTTGCCATAAGCCTTATCACCGACGGCAGATTTTCCATTTTATGGGGAATGATTTTACAAGGAAAACTCAAGCATTCTTTCAACTCTTGTAAGCCTAGTAAATAATGCATACACTTGAGCGAATATGAAACCCTTGAAAGCAACTCAAAGTTTAAAAAAATGGTTCGTCATGAAAAAGAGTGGGCGTAGAATTTACTCCCAACTCAGATGTAAGCATACCCGTGCCTCAGTGCGGATTTCCACAACCTCAAGTCGACCGTCATTCCTCACGTGTAGACATTTAATAGGAGCCTTTTTGACAGGTTTTGTAGATTTCGACGCCTACGATTTTCGTAAAGAATTCCACTAAAAACAGAAAATGGAGTGTATTGAAAGTGTGCATGACATTGGTGACTGGTGCCTATTTGTCAGGCCAATATTGCTTACCGAATTAAAGTGGAATGGGAAGAGGATGTGCTTCAAACCTCTTTGCGAAAATTTTTGGATGACTAATTTTTTAATGCTTTTCTATGTTTTGTGATTAAGAGAAGGCCAAAAGAGGGAGGTTGGTACAATTGCGCCGCCTCTTACTTCATTTGATGCCTCTCAATGTCACCACCATTGCCATTTCCAACCATTTATACGCCTGCATTAAATCTCATGTCTATACGAGGTTTTGCCTCCAAGGTCAAAATGCCGTCCTTAATCCACCTAAGCCTCCCTCTCACGCTCCTTTCTCAACTGTCTTCTCTACGTGTCACCTAGCACTTTGCCTGCTGAACACCAATACCAAGTCAAGGTGATAAGCATCACATGGAGGAAAATGCGGTGAATGGAGAGGGTGTAGTTAGGTGAGGTGCGCCAACGCATTCACTCCTTTCCAATTTATTTTTGCACAAAGTGTGATTATTGTCCTAGCTTACTCTTCTAGCGTTATGAGGTGTGAGGTCTAGTGCCGTCTCGCGAGCATAAGAATGGGACTTGCTTCCTGCTGACTCACTACTCTTGTCTGTGGCAGCTGTTTTGGAAGAATGAGAAGTAAAATAAGTTGACTTACACATGAAGAGGTTCCATTTGAATGAGTAGAGTGGATGGGTTAGGAGATAGACTTAGTTTGGTCTTCAACAAGTGAACAATGAAAGGGGATTTATCTGTCTGCAGATTACCACACACAAACACACCAACCCAGTATACATTTGTGTGAATAATGCAGTGGTGCCGGACCTAGGCCCATGGTGACTAAATCTTATTGACATGGGCAATGATGCTTTAGTTCTGCTGCGAATCCTTGC